TATCACATTCGTCGCACATGAGCTGGCTCTCCGGCCGGTCCTTCCCGCCGCAGATGTTGCACCCGCAATCCTTGCACTTCCGGCGCGGGTTGTCCCGACACGTCGAGCAATTCGGGGCCGTGGCTCCACCGACCCCGCGCCGATCCCCAAGCCGTGATGTACGGGGCGCTCCCGTTCGCATCCCGCCTCCGTCCACACGTTCCACAGCATCTACAAACGAGCACCTCAATCGATGCAATCCTCCTTCGCACGCGACGTCATCAATTATGCGCGTCTCTGCGACCAGAGAAGGAAGCGAAAGGGTTCCTTCTTCCTTCCTTCGCTGCAGGCGATCCGCCTGAGATTCGGCCGGATCACAATCGGAAAGCCAACGAACCGGAAAAATTGGCACTATGGTCTCCCAGCCGACCATCGCCGCCTTCCAGCCTCGATGCATGGCCCTGACCCGCGTAGCCGGAAGATTGCCGAGGGCATTCGAGACGGGGTGGAAATATTTCTCCGCGTCTCAAAACTCGAAGCCACGTGAGAAAAGCCCGAGTCTCGTTCGCATAGAAGAGGGTCAAACGAGAAAGGAATGATTAGGATAATTGGCCGAGTGAAACAACCCAGTTTCTCCTATCACCGACAACCCCCTCAAACAGCAGTGTTGGTGGAAACAAAGCATCGCGACACTCATTAAGCCTGGGGCTATGAAGAGTCTCCCCGGGGGGCATGAGATTCCCAAACGAGTAACAAATTCCACAAACAAGTTCCTGTCAAAAACTGCAAAACATCCTCAAAATAAAATATTCCAAATTCATAAGCATCACTACAAGTTTTTGTACAGGTTGTATAAGGGGAAAGTCTACAGTTTAGAATGTTTCCCCTTGCAATTAATGGCATTTCAACACATGCAATAGAATGCAACTCACCTGCAGTTTTTTGTTGAGTTTCAGGCAGTACCGAAACAGCATGGCCAGGTTGAGGGGCCCGAAATCGGCATAGAAAGACTCGTAGACGAGCTCCTCGTCGACGCTGAAGTAGTGGGTGTTGGCCGTCGACCTCGGCTTGGTGTTGGTGCGGAGGGTCGCAAAAAACAGCCGATCTGTGGATTCGTGGAGAAAAACGATAGACACTTTCGGCCCAGGCGACTCTTCGCTTGCAGAATATTGCAAATTGAGCAATAGTTGTCAATGGGTTAATCCTATTAAGAAACTTCCTAAAAGGCAGGAAAGTTATGTCGATTCAAAATGAATCCGAATAGTCATCTTAAGCAATGCAAGTCCCACGTTGGATCAATATTCTTCGAGAGGAAACAACATGCACACTTCTGCCAGTTTAACGATGGAATGTAGACCCAAATGCTGAAACCTCCTAGTTAATGGTCCTTTAAGAATACATGAACTCTTTATGGGGGAAAAAGCCCTTTAGCTAAAAGGCCCCATTATCTCCCTCAGTGCATTTGGACCTTGGTTTCCTGTCAATTCCAGCTGTGGCACAAAAAACACAGGATGGTGTGAGCAGAGAAACCATGACATTTCAGGAAAGCAGACCATAATTTCTCGATGCACTTAAAAAACAAAAGTCATCATTGAATGATACCATGGTTTTGGTATCCCCATATGAGTCCCCTAAGAATACACACACATTGGGAAATTCTCCAAATTTTTCTACTTCTTTTCTTAAAGACAACTCATTTCATCTATGTATTCTCATTGGCATTGGACACAGATGGAAAGACCCTGTAGGACAAAAGATAAGAGTTACAAGCCTCTATCATTGTTTTTATGAGTGCTGCAGATACAGATTTTCTTTTCCACAAACAAGTTGTAAGAGTGATTTTTATGACATTAATTCACCAACCATCTTCTAAATCTCACTGATAGCTCCCTGGCAAGCCCAGGCATACTCTTTCAACGGTCCTACACGGGATCTAGGATTGCACCCAAGTTACCACGAACCAAACTACATATGCATATAATCCACCAGATTGACATTTTTTCTGATTCAAGTGTGCTGGTCATCTTTTTCACTCAGTCAAGTCTTTAGTGAGAATCAGGAACTAGGCAAGTGAGTGTGCTTGCTCACCTTTGATGAACTCCGAGGCACTGACCAGGACATCAGTGGTATCCTCCATCTCACTGTTGTTTCGGAGTCCCAGTACAAACAGAAGGCTGCTGAGGGTGTCGAGGCTATCACGTGAGGAAGCCAGAGGATGCACAGGGCTAGGGCGAGTAGGGGGCACTGGGGGCTCTTAGGGCCTAATTCGGTCTCATTCGCGATGAACGGCACTGGGCTTGCACTCTCTGACTGCTAAGATCCAAGTTTATGACGATCGACACGATGGGGAGATGCAGCAAGATATACGCCTACAATTTTCTCGTTACTATGCAAAATCACATCCTCTTGAGAATTTTTCACTGGAGAAGGGAAGCTGAAAAATAAAGTAAATACGCTTTGAAATCATAGGCCAAGCTAGCTTTGTTTAGGGAGGATCTTTCATTCATAATAGGTCCTGGACTGGGCTAAATCTATTAAGAGCTAATGAATAAGTCTACGCATTAGCTTAGGTCACGGTATATCGACCGCTTGACTAGGGGTTTCGAAAGAGGCGGTACGTTTTGAATCATGCAGGCCGATGCAATGCCTATGACGAAGTTCGGCTAGCCTAGAACGTGTTCGCACCAAGGCCAAGGCTTAAAATAGGCCTACGACTCGGGCGAATCCGGCCTCGCCCCTTCGAGGAATGAAGATGAGCGAGAGAGTGCGAGCAAGAGAGGAGCGTCGCAACACAGACAAGCCCAGCAACACCGCCTCACGACTGCCAGTCGGCCTGTGCACCGAACGGCAGAGACTGCGGGTGATTACCATTTTGAAAGTCACCTGACAGGTCCGTCCACCAATCAGAGCGTTCCTTTGCAGCCTGCGTGGAACGGTGCCAATATGGCGGCGCCCAGTCGTTACACGCGTTGATTTCGTCCCGGGTTTGCCGTTTCATGACATTGTGGAGGTTCTTGCGTGCGTTCTCGCAGAAAATGACGAAGCCACAAGTGGTTTTTGTTCTCGGTGCTCCTGGTGCAGGAAAAGGAACCCAATGTGCCAATATTGTCCAGGTGAGTCATGAAAATGTAGTCAGTCCCATTGCACGACCATGGGACTCACCCTGACCTGTTCGAGTATCATTTCGAGCAATGACTCGCTGCCCTCTATTCGCGAAACCCATCCATCCCATTACATTACATTACCTGAGTAGGCTCAAAAGATCTCACACACTTAACCAATCATCCTCATTTGTCCTGATTTTGGCATTCTCTATGCACCCACCGAGGCCTGTTGAGTCATTGTGCATTATAATTTCCACTGAATTTTACGCATTCAACTAAAATCATGAACTTTCTCTTTTGCAGGATTTTAATTTCGTTCATCTGTCAGCTGGGGATCTCTTGCGAGAGGAGCGGAATCGTCCCGGATCTGAATTTGGTGAAATGATAGAAAACTGCATTGCCCAGGGCACAATTGTGCCTGTGGAAGTAACTTGCAGCCTGCTTGAGAGGGTATGTTATGTCGATGAGTTCCTTCAAAAACTCAGCTCTGTTTTGCCAAGGTTTAATGGAAGGGTTGTCTGGATTTCATTAGTCAGGTCATGTGCTGCATCAAAACTTGCCATATCCTTCATTGCATGTTGTTCTTGAAATGTAGTATAATACTACAAAGAACTGAATTTCTCCTAGTCAAACCATAGCAGATATCTATGTCCTACCATGAATAAGTAGTGGATCTATCATAGGCTATGCAAGAGAGTGGAAAAAGCAAGTTTCTCATCGATGGTTTCCCACGAAATGAAGACAATTTGACCGGCTGGGAACGACAGATGCACGACAAGGCAGATGTTCGGCTTGTCCTTTCCTTCGACTGCAGTGAAGAAGTAAGTGTTATTATGTGTATGGAGGTTGAGGAAAAAGGGTAGATCTCAACGGCATTGTCCGTGGGCAGGTGTGCACACGTCGATGCCTAGACAGAGGTGCAGCCGGAAGCGGGCGGATCGACGACAATGCCGAGAGTCTAAAGAAGCGCTTTGACACCTTCTACAATTCAACCATGCCTATCATTCAGCATTATGAAAAGTTGAATTTGCTCAGGAAGATAGATGGTGACAAAGCTCCAGATGAGGTGAGATTCATGCAATGAAGAGATTTCAGATCATATCCATTACAAACCCCTCAAATTCTGTCATCTTCCCAGGTATTTCAAGAAGTGAAGACCATTCTGATGAAGGAGAGCCTTTGCTGACCGCATCTTCCAGACTCCATGTTATAGAAATATTAATGGGCTTCACTGTTTGGTAGACCATTCCCATTATTTATCATTTCTGTATCCACAATGCTGACATTTATTAGGTGACTGATCTCAATTTTTTCTCCAAATTGGTGTTAATGGGACTTCAGAAGCGGTATTGTGATTGCGGTTTATTGACAGATTTTGTCCCTATGCTTTAATGTGAAATGAAATAAACAACTTCAGAACAAGTGGAGCAGTGTGTAAAAAAAAAAAATGAAAGGGATGTATTCTCAAAATGTTCCTCATCATACAGAAAACATTCTCACATTTCAGAATCACTTTGAGCTTTGACATTTTTCATAGTATTAGGGCCCCTACACACCAAAGGCAGTGCAAGCAACAGTGCCAGTCATTAGTATAAACAAGTAACGTGTAATATATAATGCACTAGTCCTAATAATCGCAGATCATATAATTGAAGATTCAATCAAATGGAATGCATGGAGCACACCTTGCCTATGAAATGGGGTATCTTAAGAAATTCATCCCAATTGTACCTATTAAAATTTGAGGCAAAGCCAAGCTCTACCTTTACATCTCTCAGCCTTTTTCTGTAAATGGGATCTCACTGGAGTGGGAGTGGTCTCACAGCTGAGCAAGCTTTGGTAATAATATGAAATCAGGTGCAGAAAAAGATTCACTGTAATGTAACTACATAGATGTTTGTGCTAAGAGACAACATTCTACATGTCTGTTTCTGGTAACTGAAGCTCTTTTAAATGCACAACAGAACATTGAGACTCTGCGTTTCCCCATACCACCTGTGGTGTGTACAGGCCCTTACAAATGAGATGAGGCAAGATGTCACATGCAACATCATATGAACACATGAACATCAATACAAGTGCAGCCACGATCAGCGGCCATTCTCGTACCCGGGGAAGAGGCACTTAAGCGCATCGAAAAGGTTTGCATTGACCTTGATCTTGTAATCCTTGCCAAGGTTTGTTCGGCAGGCCGGACACGAGTAAACCTCTGCCTTGAAAGACCTTTGAATGCAAGGCTGCAAATGGAAAAGAAGTTCTCCAATATTCGAAAAATAAAGGTCCAAGCGGGAAGTCTTAAGCAATCACTCACCAGACAAATATTATGAGCACAGGAAGTTGTGACTGGGGAACAGACCAACTCTTGGCAGCAGATGCAAACAAAAGTGTCCTGGACTTTGTTAATGAAAGCCTGGAAACAATGAAGGAAATGCATCAGCACTAACATATGCTGTACATAAAAAAGTAGGTTAAAAAGGATATCCTCACAATCTTTCCCTGCTTCGCTGCAATGAGACTCTCCTGCCAAAGTTTGGAGTTGGCTTTATCGGCCTTGATGAGTTTGTTGAGCCCTTCGTCGGGTTTGTACGCGGCCGGACAGGACTTCCTCTTCTTCGGTGCCGGGCTTCCCTCCTCGGACGACAGATCCGATCTTCGCTTCTTCTCTGATGCTTCCTGCATTGCTTCCAGGTATCCAGGTGGATACTAGGGACAAGCAGACATCAGAATCACACTCAGATTCTGGACTGAACTTGCTGCATAAAAATAGGAATCAACCAACGATGACATGGTCGAGTCCCAGTTCTTCGATCCGCTTCTTTCCCGGTCCGGTCCAAGGCGCAGGGGTGGGATCGTCTCTTCGCAGCAGGTATCTCCACACGACGAAGCCGCTCTGTCCCTTTTCGGGCCAGTACTTAACCACTTTATAGATTCCATCATACCTAAAGAAAATACTTCAAATTTACTACAACCCTGCTGCTTTGTTGCAGAACCAACCAGGAACACAATCACACCTGTTCCCTTCCTTAGGAGCATATTCTGAGTGCTTGGCTCCCTTGGCACTCCTGACGACACGGATGGGCTTCCCACCCTGCCAATCTTTGGCCACTGCACCGTTCAGGTCCAATTTGGCATTGCAGTTCAGTGCAATGGCTCTGAAACAACAAAAAAAAGAGATTAGGCGAATTCCAGCAGAGTCGAGAATTCCCTCAGCGATTCAACCATACTTGTTCATGCGAGTGAGCGTCTGATCGCAGCTCTGCTCCGCGGTCCGCTTGTTCCCCGACAGATCCCGACCCCCAGAGCCCGTGTATATGAACTCCTCTCCGTCGTCCTTGTCGTCCTCGTAGCCGCCAGCCAACACGATGGAATACGCCCCGTCGTTCTCTCGCCCGCTTATACCCGCCACGTGCGGACGGTGGATCCCGGCCTCGGATACCTGCCGAGATGAATAAAAAACCCATTTACTGCATTCAAACGCAAACCAGTTTCGGCACGACCGCTCCTCCTCTCGTTCCCTCATCCATCAAAAAAACACAATCATCGAGCCGAGCACCTGCAGCCTGAATTTCCAGGTCGTCCCAACCTCGACCCCCGGCACCGGCCCGTAATGATGGCTCGGCACGATGGTGCAGACCGTGGTGCGCCCCGCACACGCCATCCCCTTCCCCCAGTCCCTGCCCGATTCCCCTTTCTGCACCGAGACTAGCTTGGCACGCTTCTTGGATTCCTTCAGCTTCTCTCCCGCCATCACCACCTCGTTCTCGTTGTTCTTGCAAAACGGGCAGTACCTACAGGGAAACACGAAATGCAAAAGTCAGCCTCTCGTTAACGACATGAAGTAAATTTTCCCATCGACATGCGCTCGAATCAGGTGACCCAAAAAAAAATTCCAAAACCAATCGGCAGGACAAAGGTCCTTAAAGGACAAAGGTCACAAAGGACCCACCACTCGTCTTCCTCCGGCACCGCCGTGAGCGGCGGGCTGAGGCAGGACATGTGAAACGGCTTATCACATTCGTCGCACATGAGCTGGCTCTCCGGCCGGTCCTTCCCGCCGCAGATGTTGCACCCGCAATCCTTGCACTTCCGGCGCGGGTTGTCCCGACACGTCGAGCAATTCGGGGCCGTGGCTCCTGCAATCAAAAGCAGCGTCCTCCAAAATTACTCCCGACATAAAATTCAGCGTATTCTCCGTCGTAAAAATCCATAATAATTTTTAATATAAAATAAATAAATAAATAAATATTTTTTTTTCAAATTTATTTCATTTTTATTTTACAGGGAGCTAAACTCGACCTTCATATTACTTGTCTATGTCTAAGCATCACATCTGTTCCACGTCATTCTTCACTGCATTGAGTCTGGATTTCCCCCGGATATGTTGACTGATACGAGCGAGATCCTTGCATCAACAGTGAAACTCGAGATAATTCAGTCCCTTTGTATTTACTGATCCCGAGCAAAAGATCTACAAACACTATTCAATGCGTCAGTCGTCCCCCAACAATGGCATCGATGATAAATTGCCCCCTTTTATTTTTAATTTCCCTGTAGTTCCCTATAAGCAGATAAAGTTAAAATTAAACGAGGGTGAGCCGTAGATACGCTCTGGACTCCAGAGAAAAAAAAAACCTTTCCCGTAATTTAGTTATTCATTCAGGAAAAGCATAAATTCTCAACATCCGACGAACCCCCCCGAAAAACACCCATTGAGGTGAAAAAAAAACCTCTCAGAGGACCCTGTCATCTCTGTCACACCCCCATAAAAGACTCCCAAGGACAAAGGACATCCCGGGACTTCCCGGACGAATCCTTGAGACCCCCACAGCGAGACGGGAAGTAAACGGATATTACGCAAAAAAAAAGGCTCCGCACCGAAAGCAAACAAGGGCGGGAAAATCAGAGTCCCACTTCCTCCCGAGTGACAAAAAATAATAAAATAAATAAAACAAGGGAAAATGTTATGCAACTAAGTACAATTTGCATTTAAGATCCGTGACGTCATTCTCTTTCGGAATGTCACACCGATTGTAGTTTTACGGGCAAGTTTGCTCGTGGCAGTCTGGAAGTCCCGTACACAAGACAACAAAAAACCAGTTTTTTTTTTTTTTTTTACTGTGGGAATTTCTAACAGTTCAGAAACCGGTAGTGAAACCCACCCAAAAAAGGGAAACAATCACTCCACCTCCGTATGGCTAATGAAAAAGAAAAAAACCAAACCACAGGTGGTTTCCCTTTCCCACGCCTGGGAGGCGCGGGCATTATTTAAACCCCCGACATATACATATTTTTTTTACTTAAAGGAAAATTTGATGCGCTAAAGCAGTCAATACAGACGTTTATTAACCGCTTTAAAAAATCTCGGTCGGTTTTCGATGGGCCACCATATCATTTTTCTGAATCATTTACTACTCGTAAATCAATTGCCTCCAATAAAAAAAAAAATAAAAATAAAACAGAATTTCCCGCTTGAGAGGTTAAACCACTCGAGCGGTGAATTTTGCCACAGGATTTTTATACCTCCGATCTTCAATCGATCCTTGACGAGTCGTAAATGTTCCAGACCCATGAACTCAGTGTTCCGAACGTATGAAACACCATCACGCGTTTCCTGAATCGATTACAATTTTCCCAGTGACGAGCTTCCAGCGCCCACCATTTACAGTTACAGAAACACCATCTATCCAGTCCATTGTCCAAACTTCATACCCACATGCCGTTAAACAGAATCAGGCGCACTAGAGAAGACCTTTAACCCTTTCATGCCGGATGGTTCGGCTTGGAACCATCAACTTTCTGAATTCTTTTAAATCCATCGCATGCATGCCAGCGAGCAATCGTCAGCATTGACTCATCAGACAGGTTCCTGCCACCCAGATTAAGATGACAACAACCTCATTTCATCAGTGCGAGTCTAGAAAACGTCTCGTAAGAGCGCATTTAATCATCCCTGCGAATCTGAGATAAGTTCCTTTTTTTCGAAAAATTCAGGCATGAAAGCGACCGATGGATCGGTGGTTCTCAACTTTTTTTTCTGTTCTGGTCGGCAACTGAATTTCTTGGAGGGTCTGGATGGAAGAATACTGCACATTCCCGGACATTCAAGCGTCATTAAAAATTTTCATTTAAATAAACGTCCAATGTCAAACTTGCAGCCGAATGTTTACTGTAGACCTTTCCCCCCCCCCCCCCCCCCCCTTCTCCCATGAAAAGCGAGACTCACTTTGGACTGGAGCGACGAACTCGTCCTCTTCTCCCGCTCGGTCCCGCTCCTTCACCCTCTCGATCTTCATGAGCTCGTCCACGAACCGGAGGTGGCAGTCCGCGACGGCCGTCTCCTGCGCGGAGACCAACACCGTCGCCACGAGGTCCCTGCCCCGCCCTCGCTCCTGCTTCTTGGTGATCTTCGCGTCGAACCAGAAGCCTCGCTCCTTGGGATCGTCGAGGTTGTAGTTCGCCATCACCACGTCCCCGACCTTCACCTCGGCGAAGGGGACGGTCGAGCGGGCCCTCGGCCTCACCATGAACAGCGGCAGGGGGGCCGGGTCGTCCTCGTACCTGTCGGTCCGACACGACTCGTCAACACACGAATTACCCCAATCCCAGGACACCTAATTTAAATGCTTCATTTCCTACTGGCTTCATGCCTTCGAGATCTAACGAATTGGAGATGTTTGGCATCTTCTGCTCCACAGGATGAAAAATTAAAAGTTTATACTCAGACCACATAACTGAAATTTTGCATGGCTGTAAAAATCGACTCCAGATCCGACCTATTCAGCATCATGGCAGCTGGGTTAAAGGTTTGCACCATATGACTCGTGTATAGTGATTTCAATTTGTGATTACATGCGTAAGTCCAGCAAAAATACCAGTAAAACAATTGGAAGGGATCAGTAAAAATCAGTCAGTATCATTTTCAGTACCAGTTTAGCCTTCAAGATTGAAACATTGTGAACTGAATCACAATCCAAGAAATTAAGAAAAAACCTTCACCTAATCTTTATACCACCTGTCTTGCTTCACAAAATCTGGAACCTGAGAGGGGTCCTAGATGTGAAAATGAACTTCTTTGACTTTTAGCACAAACACAATGCTTCTTTCAGAGGAGGAATGACCTCCTCAGATTCCCAAAAATAACATGCACAAGGTAAAAGATGGGATGAACCAACTTGCAATTCACTAAATATAACCTTGCACAAAAAAACAAGATTCCATGTTCTCACATTCTGCATTCCTTGTATTGAACTAAATGCCCATCTAACCAAACTGATCATACAATTTCCCCATTAACAAACTCCAGTGTCATTAGCATTTCAACATTGAAGAAATTTAGCATTGACACATACAGCCTAGTGTTTGCACCAAAGGCGAACGGAAACCTCTCAAGTTGGCAATCAAATGAGAGACAAAACTTCTAAATTATGGAATTATCTCCAAACTTGATCATTAAAAAAATTGTCACAACATCTACTTAAAAAAATTCAACTTCAAAATGCAGCCACTCTCTGGATACTGGAGAAATCAGGGCTATGAACCTAGTCTGTTCCAGTCTGAGAGGGCAAGGGCTGGAATGAACTGTCTTAAAAAATAATTTTAAATCGTAATCAAGGCCATTCGTGCAAATAATGATCAATGTCCTTCAGTACCTTCTATGAGCACCAAACAAGCAATGATCTAACTCTTAACATTAAATTAAGAAAACTAGCATATCTAGTCAACAGACTACTGTCCAAGATATTTAGCCATTAAAGTTAAGCTTAACGCAAAATGCTGTAAACAAATCAGAATTTGAAGTCATAATTGTGAGCAATTGTGACTACAAAGATATAATTTGCTTGCTCCTTTTCTTTCCTACAATTAAATAGTGACCAAACTCACTCCTGATATTGAACATGATATCGCAGGCTGTCGTCTCGTGGGATGCCGGGAGCGATCTCTCCTTCCCAGAGGACATCTGAAGGCAACATTTTGGTGATCTTCACAATCTCAGCTTCAAACCAGGCACCCTGAGTGTGCGTGTCACGTGCATCTACCAGGTCTCCAACCTGTCACAAATGAGCACACTGGTACAATCTATGCAATTGCATTTAAAGACCTGGTTCCTTAATGACTATAGTTGGTAAATATGGTTTAATCCTTCACCACCTCCCACTTTATGACCACACCAAGATCATGACACACAACATGGTTTGCTTCCACGGGTTCACCCTCAGCTGTTAAGTAGCCCTTATTGAGTGGCTTGAAGGTCTTTCTTCCATTGCACAGGTCTTACCCATCTTTTGGAATCTACACACCATTGGATAGCATGTTTCAGGGTCTCTCCCCCACAATGGCATCTGCAATATACTCTGCTACCCATCCAATGCTTTTTGCCGGATAGCAAGCAACCTGTTGTTCTGGGCGGTTTTTTCATCCACTCCACAACAATTCAAAGTCTGCTGCCTGTGCTCTTCACACATTCATTCATAAAAAGACATTTCTCACTTCTAGTGCAACCATCCAGCCACATAAAACCACAGCCAGTCCCATGGCAGCATGCACCTCTCCACTTCAGGGCAGGGCTCCAAGCAGCCATCTTTTTTGTGCCATCATCTTCTCCATGCAGCCATCTTTTCCAATAAAATTTAGGCACAAATCATCAGGATCCTTGGAACAAGTAACTTAGCACTTGGCATCCATTCTTCCCAACTCCACCATGAATGTGCTACTGTCTTTCTTTTTATTTATCAACCACACTCCTTTTCTACTCCCAGGAACAAGCTTGTTAGAATCCCAAGGATTTTTCATGCAAGACAAGGGCACTACTCTCAGAAAATTTGCTAAACTTACAATAGTGAAATTTAAAACAGGGAATGAGTAACAGTCTCTCCATGATGAATTACACAACAATAAACTTCCCCCTCAAACATTTTATTCTCTGATTTTCCAGAACTTCTGTACCTAAACTTTTTCTCCACCAAGCAACCAGCAAGACCATCTAAGCATTGATGTCCTTTTCTATCAATAAAAAAAAAACAACCAGAAAGGGAGAAGACAGGGAGGGTAAAATTGCACAACAAACAGGTTGATTCTCATTACCTTGAAGTATCGACTCACTGCAGCACCCTGGTCATTGTCATCATCCTCTCCATCCAGTTCTGAATTTCCCAGAGATGATTCAGAACTCCGTCCATTTTCAGGCACTGCTTCACTCTGCAATCAAGACCATATTCCCTGTATCTCTAATATGGTTTTTCAAGCCAAAGGAGACCATCAACCCTTTTGCAGGGTAGATACATAAGCTTAACCGAGCTACATGACAGGCCCTTTACAGTAAATCAATAATGGCTCTATGCCTTGCAAATGAATGAATACTTTTATTATCAAAGACTGTGTGTGAAGTTGCTTTTAAAGTGTACTGTCAATCTCAATTCATTGTAGAATCAGTAGGGGTAGTAGAAAAGTCAGGTCATCTCATTGATGACTCATTAAAAAAATTTTTTAAACTTGAAACGAGCAATAATTGGATCTCACATCATGAAGGTGCCTGGAGTGGGCTCTATTATGATTACAAAAATCCCAATGCCAAACTCACCTCATCATTCTCATGGTTTTCCTTGTCAGAGGATCCACCAGACTCACTTTCAACCTTTGATGAAGGTCTGGCTTCTTGGGATTTTGGCTTCTCTGTCTCTTTGGCAGGGGACTGTTTTGGTGCTTCAGCTTGACATGCCAGGTTTGGTCGGACCATGAGCTGAATGACTGAGTTTACTTCAATGCTGTAGTCAAAGAGCTTGTATCCATCCTCAAGCTGCATATGAAATGGAACCAAATTCAGACTCGGCTTAGGCCTAGATAAATCATAACAATAGGTCACGGCAGTCAAAAAGCATTCAATCTAACGTTAGGATTCAGCCTAACCATATGGTATTGCATTGTATTTATTAAAATTGACCAAATTAGACGCGAATTTTTTTCCAAGCCAACCTGCTTCCCACGAAAGAAGAGCCTCTGGAGTTCGGGTTCAGCACCCATCTTCTCGTGGACGGATTTCCTGAACTCTTCCACTGTGGTCAACTTGGACACGTTGAACGTGGACGTCTGCTTGCCGTCCATCGTTCGGACCTTGATGTACATTTTTGACTAGATTTATCCTGCCTCGGTAACTATCAAAATAGCACGGGTTCACCTCGACTTCATCCACAGACCGACCACCATGTGATCCGCTGCTGCTTTGGCGGGAATGACTGAAAAGGGGGCGCAGACGCTTTATGCATAGAAAGTGAAGCGGGTGAGGATGTTCCCGCGGGTCCTGCGGTGCCGTGGTGGAGGGAGGAATTAGGTCAACAAACGGCTCTGCAGGAAACGAACCTATTAGTATTCTATGACGTCATGTTGTCGTCTGCTTGCACAGCAGACAAAGCGGCCGTGCTCGCTCAGGAATGCCTTTTATTCGTTTATTGGCTCTTCTTTATTGTTGTTTGCAACATCTTTGGAGGTGAAGCAGCAGGGGGGGACGCAGACGCCACAGCCACCCATGCCCACGGGCACGAGACATCGCTGACTCACTGGCAGGTGCCGCGCTCAAAATCTTTAGGAGTTGAGACAGAAAATCTGAGAAAGCGGAGACCGATTGGACGAGGTCACGATGAATAGAGAAAATCATTCCTTTGCCAGCCACGATCGTCTCTCCCCTAAAAGTTTTCTCGATCCAAATGTGAAATTTGCGTGAAAGCACGCGAGCTGTCGGTCCAGCCGCCACGAAAACCTCTATGGAAAATTCAGTGATGACATGACGATAAAGAAATACTTTTTCGTCACGAGTTATATTTTTTTATTGTTCATAGCTACGATCGTACCTTTGAGGTAACTGCATGAACCTCCATGTTACTACTCGGTCGTAAAGTGGTGGCTATGGCCTTTGTATTGCCTGTTGAAAATTGAAACTCGAGGAAACGAAAGAGACATCTGCGATTCACCTTTGGAATCCGTCAACTCTTGCATTATTCCCTAGGTGGCAGAAGCGACACATGACCCTCTCCCCCCCCCACTGGCCGCGTCTGCTCGTTGGACAGGAGGATCTCTTTTGCTTTCCTCAAGTGCAAAATTTTAAGGGGAATTAGGCATAACTTGCAAGATCCGACCATCAAGGCTTCACTATGGTCAATCCAGCGCTCTGCAGGAGCCACACTTTTGGAGGGACAGAGGTGTAAAGCGATTAGCATAACCTGAATGGAGAAATGAAATCTTTTGGGATGTGCTTTCCAGCTCATGAGAGTATGCACACCCAGCAAGCCATAAAATACAAATTTTTACTTGAAATTCAATCATAAATAGATAATCAACCATAAATGAGCAAACACTTTCAGGCTATGCTTCTCGCCGAGTGTATCAAACAAAACGAGTGGAAAATGAAAAGACGAAGGAATATTAGAACTTGATATTTCATTGAGAAAAAATCATCTGGCTGCCACTTTTATTCACTTTTTGGGTGGGGGGGGAGGGGGGAAGAAGAGGCTTTTTCCTTTTTTGCATGTATTTAAATACAAAAGAGAAAGGAAAAAACGCGGAAAATACGTAAACACTTGAGGGAAGGAGTAAAAAGAAATGCAGGGGACACGAAGTCACTGCACCCATGTGTACACCATCTCCGGTCACGTCGTTCTTCGCAAACTTGATTTTTTTCCCAAATATATTCATCTCGGTGCCGGTGGAAAACGCGGGTTATACCTCTCGCCGGCGGTGAAACCGTTGGACTAGACTCGCGACCGAGGCTGCACGAGCCCCGGCACGCAGGAATAAGAGAAAAGGTTTTTTTCTTTTTTTCTTTGTAACAAAAATAAAAAAACATCGAGTATAGTTACCTCAGAGTCCCCATCTGACGAAATAAAAGAAAAAATTTCTCGTCATATGTACATACTTAGCACGTGTAGAAAAAATTCTTCTCTGCATAAATTATTCGCTTGCGCAGCTATCACACTTCAGCAAAAAAGAGACTTGCTGTAAGAAACTAAAAAAAATGGCAGAGGCAAACAACTGAAATAGAACAACAGGGCTTCCATGGAAATGGAAGAGGGGCATTTGTTTGTGCAGAAAATGCTTGTTCAAGTGATCATATATTAGGACTCTTTTAAAAGAAGAACCGTCACATGGTCGAGATATCGTGTCTGATGGAGGAAGAGCGATGGAGGTGAGCCAGCAGGGCACCAGGTACGAGCCTTTGTGGACGACGGAACGAGGAGAAAAATAACTTTCCGTGTCTTTCGTGTTTCTCCCGACTGTCGGCGAATGTGAAATCTGCGGTTTGCACTATCGGATGAGTCTCGCAACACAAGAGTTCCTCACGCCGTGAAGTCGGGATCGTCACTCCCACCTTCCGAGTCCTCTTCTTCGGAGGATGACAGCCGATACTTTTTCTTCTTCTTCTTCTTTTTGTGTTTCTCACTTTTGTTGTGCTTCACATGGTGATGGTGATGTTTGTGTGAGTGGTGCTTCAACGTGGGCGGCTTTGGCGGCACGATCCGTAGTTTTGGCACCTTCTGTGAAGACACTTCATCCACCTACCACAACATATTCAAGAGAAATCAGTCAATATCTTGGAATATATGATGCCAGGAGACATTAGGATTCAAAAGGGAAGTCTCATGAGAAAAAAATTTGACATGGAAAGGAGGACTTTCAACTGGGCTATGTAATCAGGGTGTTGTAGGTAACTGCGATTTTAATACTAAGGTCAGAACACTTTCCTGATAACAAATGTCCCATTGATTGGAAATATACTATTACTGTACTATATGTTTAAGAGAGGATGTGTCTCCAAGCAATGGAAGACTGCAGGAATAATGTTTTCATCAGTTCTTGGTGACTTTCAGGAAGCATGAGCAAGTAGGAGGAAATAACATTTCCTCAGTTCATGCCCACATGTGCTGAATCCATATAGAACATAATGTTCTTGCATCTGACAGAAAAGTTTATGAACATATTTAAATTATTAAAAAAAAAGGCAACTCTTTCATCCAGATCAGAAATGAACTATCAAATTCATTTCATTCAAATGAATTATTTATAATAGAGGAATGCCTGGTTTCCTGAAAGTCCAATACCGGCAAGAAATTGTTACATATACTGCATATACAGGGCTAGTCAAAATGATTGCAGCGGTTTCAGAAAATTACTACAGGTTTATTATTTGACATATGCTTACAAGATTGCACAGATATATAAACAAATAGTGAAAGTTTTTTTTAGTGTTTATTTTCACTATTTGTTTATATATCTGTGCAATCTTGTAAGTATATGTCAAATAATAAACCTGTAGTAATTTTCTGAAACCGCTGCAATCATTTTGACTAGCCCTGTATATAGCACATAGCTGGTGCATTGAATTAACACTTTCACTCCAGAGGGTTGGTGACTGAGGTTATTTTGAGGCCTACCAAAAATTCATAACTTTGGAACACAAAATGATATAGACGTGTTCCTTTTTGAAATTGATGTACAAGTTCTCTATTTTATTGTTATATTATTTCAATATAAAAAACCTATAAAGGATGTTCTATTATGTCCACCATCACCTAATGGTATTAATAGTTAGGACTGGACATACAGTTACATCCAACGGATCAAGAGTGTCAATAAACAAGAGAATCTGCAGACCCTTCTGGAGGCACATCATCAAAGTGCCATTCCATTGCTTGGATTAGCAGTTGCCTCTTGATGCAAATACAAGATGCTGGTGTGTGTGGCTCTGAGATTTAAAGAGTGAGACATTGAATCTGTAAAATATATGGTGAGGAACACAATCCATGTCGTTTCTGCAGTAGACATTCAACTTCCAAGACTTCTGCTTAGTTAAAAAAATACAATAATAATAAAATTAGTTTAACCAAGGTAATGTGCACACCTGTTTATAATACAGAGAATAAATACAGCTTTCACAGATTTTCATTGGGTTTGGGGAATAGCTCCAAAAAAAGATATTAAAATAACTGGCAGGAACTTCTGGTCCGAGGGCACTTTAGAACAATATGAATGAGAGATAAGGTACGACTTCACATACCCTCCACACAAGTGTACATTTTCCTACATATCAGCCATATCAACCATTTGCTTCTAGTTCAAGACCAGGCTTAAGATTGTCAGCCTCTGCAGGTAATTGGTACTATCAATTATTAATTTAACCTTTGTGAAAAATAAACTAAAATGAAAATTGCTTTAGGGCATTAAGGAGAAATTACTGAACCTATCAACATGGTGCTAATTCAACCTAATTCAAGTATAATTTGATTTCAAGGGTAAAATATGGTATTTTCACTTTGATCACATCATCCCAGGTTCCAGACAATGAAACAGAGGGAAAATATCTACAAATGAAAGACAAACTAGGTGGGAACCAAGAGGATGGTAGGCAATGCATTCACTAGAGCACCAGAGAAAACTACAGATCAGCCACAAAAGCAAGAAAGCCTGTTCCTAAAACTCATGACAGGCACTCACCCCTTCTTTGAGCCTCTCTCGATCGATGACAACCGTGATGGGAGGGTTTGGACCAGTCATAGACTGCTCAGGAGGGGGTGAGAGGGAGGGAGGAGGGGGATAGGATGTGGAACTGTTATTCGGAGTCAGGTTGGGTTCTTGTTTGATAGTGATGGTAAGGGAGGAAGAATCCCTGGCTGCAATTGCTGTCAGAGGTCCATTTGAAACTCCTGCTCCTGTCCTATCATCCTCGTCCTCCTCCGTTGGATCAATCTTCAGCATCAGCTGCTTGAACTGGTTAAAAATAAAAGGGGTCAAAGTCAACTGAAGGGCATGCAAGACAAATGTGAGACCATACCATACATGGGTAGGAGGGAACTCACGTCTAAGTATTGATTAATGAGATCTATTTTGGCAGCTGCTTCTTTGCTTTCGTGTTGGGTGACCTCGTGTCGAGACCTGGAGCCCTTGACCCGGGGTAACTTGAGACCCTTCAACCTGGCAATTGTTGCCTTTGGCATGAACTTCGCAATGTTCCTTCGAGAAACAGTCTTCTCGTGGACTTTAGACGATTCCGTTGGCAAATACTGAGAGATTTTGCTGCAGGATGGTAATTGGCATCATTCATGAAACACTCCAATCTGATATGGCATATGAATGTGAGGAGCAATATTGCTGGTCTGAAGACACTCACTTGTCTGTGATGCCATACATGTCCTTCAGATGCTGCTTGAGCATAAGAAGGAGAAGGCAACCTTGAGAGGCGGTAATGGCATCCTGAAGCACATTTAGATCCTCAGGGAGACGGCGTAATATGGAGTCAAAGTCGTCGTCTTCGTCCTCGTCGTAGAACAGTTCCTCCTTCCCCGTTTTGGGATTGAATCGAAGTATTGCACCCTCAGGAGGCAACAGTCCCTAGGCACAACATACATCTCTTCATTAATACAAAGGTTTCACACTAGCCCATCTAAAGGGTGGCAATAACAGATGTCCAGCAGAGATGAGGCAGACTAGAAGATTAACCTGTCTTTCTTATTGGCCCATTTAATTGTACTATTCTTCCAGGTTTCATAATAAGACTATATCAGTCTTATTATGAAACCTGGAAGAATAGTACAATGCAACATGGCTTCTTCCAAATGAAATTGTTCAGGAGTGCATTCTGTGCAATCTGAACATTCACATTTTGAGAGGTACATGATGCAGGGGTGTTCTACAGATACCCACAGCTGTTTCCTCAATATCAAACACTTTCTAAGAACCATTCAGCTTAGGGCGTCATATTACAAAACAGTCAAATCTGCAATACAACAGAAGCACAACTAAATTGAATATTAAAATAGTCAAACTAGAATTATGTTCTGTAGAATTATATCACATCCTTCTTTCATCTTCCACATTCCTGTATTTTACCAGTGATAGATTCATTTGTTTTCCTATGCACCTAAGAACTTATTACTTGACAAGAGTGCTAGCTTTTGTGCAGAACTGATAAAATCATACTTTTTTGCAGAAGGTTCTAGTAGCTCATTATGAAACAAAACCAAATTAATAATAATAAAAATTTCAAATGTGATGTCCTTTGCATGATTTGGAGTGCCAAGATGAGCCTAAATGGTATCAAAATACTGGGTGGCCCAAAAATACATACGATTTTGAAAAATCACATTTTTGATGGACAACTTCCTAAAGCGAATCAAGCTCTGCATTGATGCAGGAGTTGGTCATTTTGAGCAAAATTGATGTTTATTTTGATGATGTGGGTTGTATTATTGTTTATTTAACCAATTGTTTATAAGTATGTTTGATATTTTGAATAAAGAATTTGATTTTTCAAAATCGTATGTATTTTTTGGCCACCCTGTATTTTGAGACCATTTAGGCTCATCTTGGCCACCCTGTAGTTCATTATGTATGACAGAAAGAAGAAAAATTTACAGCCAAATACCTCTTTGAAGGTTTGAAGAAGGTTGGATCCATTGACAGAGATCATGACGTCAATGTGATGGATGATGAAGAGTGGTTCATCTAGCACTTGGTAGGGGAAGTAGGCCAGGTTGTCTGACATGTACAGCATCTCAGCCAAGGGTAACCTCTGTAAAATTAAATACCAAACTCAGATGGAGAACTCAATGATTGATTGGCTATGAAATTATTTGACATGGTAAGACATCTTACTCCTTGGTCATCGAATTGCTTGAGTATCGAGAGGGCAACAGCCCGACGCTGCTGTTTCGTCGTCCTCAGCAAGGAGTACACAAAGCCATTCAAGGCCACTTGAGATTCTCCCTGAGATGATTGCCTGAGAGGAAAAAATACACAGAAGTAATGCACTGGCTTCAAGCTACACTAGATGATGCCATAATATGGCACAGTATGATGGAGAAATAACCTGTATCCACGGATTGGAGATTCAGGTTGGATGATGGTCTGGAGATCATAAGAGAGCCTGATCCCTGACATGGCCTTCATGTGGAGGAATCCAGGATACTTCTTCTCCATGTCTTGAAGTTGTTTATCGGCTGTGTGAGCCACTGCTTCCTCCGGATCCGTCCCCATCACAATCAGATATGGCACAATCTGTGCATACCAAATGAATTCCAGACTCATCATGAGAAGGGAAAACATACCTATGAAGCCCATCATCAGATAGAAGAATCTGATATGATGCTTTTATGCTTTTTTTCTGGAACATGATCCATGGGAATAATAGTGACCAGAACTTTCCCACGCTTTTGCTAGCTCCCCTGATCAGCATATGATTACAACTTAAAGCTCTCTAAGACTAACACTGAGTCCCATGCCTGCATTAACTGGACTTTTAAGTTTTCTTCATCAATCTTGAGTCCAATCCAGGACTTCTTGAAAAGTTACTAATGTTTTATGAAAAATAACATACATAATAGATTGCTTTTCATAGAGAATACAAAAATATTGCACATTTTAAAATAAAGCTCTGTGCATGGTGGCAAAAAAGCATGGGAGTTAAGGAGTTAAGGTTAATAATTTTATTTTGTTTGGAAATGAAAAATTGCTGATGCTGCTAGCTAACAGGGAGGCATCATCCAATGCTTTCCAATCAGTGCTTTATATCCATTTTCCTTCAGATTGTGGTTTGATACTTTCTCAAACCATTTATGAAATGACCATTAAAGTACTAACATACAAATTTTTGCTTTTTTTATGCCTTATCTCATGGAAATTAGTCTGCAACTTTTATGCTTCATTCGTAGAAATTGTGTTTACTCTGCTTCCCCATCACCTTTCCCAGAAGGGTATCAATCTGACAGCCCATAGGTCAGGACTGGCCTACCTGTCCCGTCCTTTTTCAGCTCACAAAGCCAACTTTGACTGTTAGTCTTGAAAAATCAATGCCATGACTCAACTTCTTTGCAGTAAAATTTGATATGAACTTGATCAACTTGAAGTCTGATCACGTTTGACACCTCTGCTTTGGAACTATGCTGTTCACTTTTTCCTGAGCTGAATTCTTATTCAAAGATGTATTAGAGCACTACTGCGGTAAACCAGTGGAGACCCCTATGCCTTTATGCCTTTTCATTTCCAAGCCATGCCATCACGGCATCAGAGCTTGAAAGAAAAGAAGAAAAAAAAACTCACCTGAACAGGATGAACAAGGCCCTGGGTGAGAATGAGTTGGATGACCTTGAGGGCCGTCCGTCTCACGCTTATGTTCCGATTGAGAAAGGACTCAAGGATTTGCTTCAGGTAGACCTGGATGACTGTACTTGCCATTCCACTGGATACATCTCCCATGTCCTTTAGGCTTTCATTTTTGCCTAGTCTTGACCCTAAAGAATAGAAAAATGTCTCAGAACACTGCAATCCCTTGCTTCCCAGTCTCACTGATGGGGGCACATGAGTACTTGAGTATACTATATGTGGACTATATGAATTCATTATATTTTGGAAAATAAAACCTTTCCAGAAGTCCAAAAAACAAAGACATCTGATAGGCAGAGTTAGAAGAACTGTAGAAGTATTCTCAGCCCTGTATGAAAAGTGATTTTAAAAAAACTGTGGGCTATTAAAGGAGAAATAAGAGGAGCCCACTCACATTCCTGATCCATCTTCATCATCCTGACTTCTTCCTCATGAAGGAATGTCTCCAGATTATTAAGCACCTATGGGAAAAAGAAAAAGAGGTTGTTTGAGTGAGATAAAAAATTTTACTTCATCAGGACACAAAATGAAACTAAATTTATTGTTGAAACATAGCAGGTATCCTAGAGAAGTATTGGGTCAATCAGAGAGTTCTGGCTGTTTCGAGAACATTCCATACAACCGAGTTTTTTAAAAAAGCAAAAAAGTTCATTCAACGAAGTAATCGCCATTACAATTAATCACCTTCTGCCAACGATCAGGCAGACTCCTGATTCCATTCCTGTAGAACTGAGCTGGCTGTGAGTCGAAAAAATCAGTCAGCCAGTTTTCAACCTCGACGTCATCATTGAACTTTTTCTGGCGAAGATGGTTGTCCAGAGCGTGGAAGAGATGGTAGTTGGTTGGTGCCAGATCTGGGCTATATGGAGGGTGAGGCAGAACCTCCCAGCCCAGATCCAGCAGTTTCTGCCGTGTGATCTTCGTGACATGTGGCCTTGCGTTGTCGTGCAGGAATCGAACACGATGGTGCCCTGGCCTCACAATGTGGAGTTTGTCAGCGAGCTTCTGCAGCTGATTGCAGTAGTAGGTGGTGGTGATGCTGGTATCAGGTGGGAGCAGCTCGAAGTCAATCACGCCTTGCATGTCCCACCAAATGCATGATATGACTTTTTGGGGGTGCAGGTCACCTTTCAGCTCCGGCTCTGGCTGGGCATCGGCATCGACCCACTGGTGCCTGCATCGGTAGTCAATGTACAGCATCCACTTTTCGTCTCCAGTGACTACAGAATCCAGCCAGTCATTTGTGCACTTGTACAACAGCAGCGAAGTGCACACCTCAGCATGGCGTTTGTGGTCGCGGTCGGTCAGATTGTGGAGTACCCACTAACCTAATTTGCTCTTCTTGCCGATTGCAGCCAGGTGCATCACGATCATGGACTGGGTGCAGCCAAGTGCTGTTGCTAAGTCACAGGTACTTTGCCTCAGATCAGCTTCCACTGTGTGCTGCAACTGCTCATCGTCGATTTCAGATGGGCAGCCTGACATGGGCTCATCCTTGAGGCTGTAATTTCCAGACCGGAAATGATCGAACCATCATCGCACTGTCCTTTCATAAACTGCACTTTGGCCAAACGCTGTGCAGATGCGGCAACTCGATTCAGCTGCTGTGATGCCAGATTGGAAGTCGTAAAGAAGGCACTGACATTGGGCGGTCTTGTTAAAGTCCATTTTGGAAGTCATGGATATAGGCTTTGAACGACTAAGCAACTGCTGTGTAATCACGCCCACACACCCTTTATATACTGCTACTGTGGAAGGTTCGAGAAAGTTCCAGAAATTTTTTTTCTGGAAAATTCTTGAGACAGCCAGAACTTTCCGATCAAGCCAATAGATAACAAAACATCACTAGGTAACACAGAAAGACGGTACTAGCTCTACACAAGTGAGCCATAACTCAAAATGGATAGCTGTCATGGATAGGAGAGTTTTACCTGAACTTTAAGAGGAATGGGCTCATCCTCATGAGTGAGGACAGTGGTGTAAATGTCTTTGCACTCTTGTAGCAGCATGATATCATAATGGCGAATACACATGGAGCCAAGGGCCTGCAAAGCAAACCGTTGGATATCCCCATCTGTCAGATGCATGAAGTACATCAATGTATTCACAACCTCTTCCATGATCCCATCCTGTAAGGCAAATGGAATTAATCTTCATTAAATGTCCATACAGCATGGAAGCAAGAGAACGAGAAATCACTCACAGGGAGGCCACATCGGACATTTGGATCTCGGTAATCAAAGTGCCGCATGAGGAGCCCCACTGTGTAAAGGCTCCTGAAAAACATGTTTCGACTCAACCGGTTGTCTCCAGGGTTCTGTTCCTGGGAGCTTTTGTACTGTGTCAGGAAATCTGAAAACAACAAACAATGAACAGGATGATGAGAACATAGCTTCAGGGATATTAAAATTGCAAAAAATCTAGGTCATTCTCACCATAGTAACGAAGGAAGCAGTCCTTCACAAGAGCATAGTTGTGAGTAACATTGTTCACGACAGAGCCCAGACAGGCTGCTGATGCATTCACAACCACTTTGTCTTGGGTCAAGATAAGCTTCACAGAATCCTCCTCCAGCTGGGCGAGGAAAGTTTCACTAGGATGTTCAATCAATGGCACTATCAGCTCCAGGGTCCTGGCCACTGCACTGATGATCTCATAGTCTTGCCTCGTCTGAAATTCACCAAAAAATTGAGTTGAGGTTATTTGACATTTCTCAGACTGATTTCTTCCAATATTCCACGCATACAGAAAATGCTTTCTCACAACATTTCAAAGAAATTTACCTGGCACCGAAGACTGAGGTAGGGCTGAAGAGTACTCGCATGAGGCACAAGAAGCTGAGGCCTAATTTTGGCAAACAGGAAAAGAGTGTTCATACACGCAACTAATCTGGAATTGGTGCCTTGCTTCACAACACTGCTTCCTGCCTCTGCAGCACTTTGTTCCAGACTGTTCTCTTCAATCTGGAGAATGTTCTCCACCAGGCAGTCCACAATCTGATGACAGGCTGTCACCAGTGCCTTTGGTGGCTCAGTCACTACTTTTGTAGAATCTTCCTTGTCTTCCTTTGGCTTGAACAGCTGTAAACATGATTGGAAAATTTCACAAACTCATTCAACAAATTCAACTGTAAGGGTGAGAATGTCTATTGAAACTCACACTCAGAAGCAGCTGCTCGATCCAGTCGAGTCCCACTTCCTTGCAAGTGGCCACAACATCAGTGATGTTGAGGACTTTGTGAATCAATGCCTCCTTGTCAAGAACTGGCCGCTCTCTCACAGGTGAGAACCACATGTTCTGGAATACTTCCATGACTAACTTCCGGATCCCCTCCTCATCATTCACTCTCCTGATCATCTTGACACAGATTTCTGGGATACGCCTGTATGTTGGACACTCAATGCAGATATCTTTCAAGATCTTGATCACTCGCTTCCGTACACTCACTCCCGTATCCTGCAATGTGAATTGAATAAAAACTTGAAGTCATCCTGGCAATAGAACTCGTATTCCAAGTATAAGAAGCAAGAAGTTGTAGAAACAGACCAGGATTCGAGCAGAGAGCATATCATAGTACTGATCAATGAGGGATGGCCGACTCAAGATGAATCGTCCAACGAGATCAACGGAAGCTTCCCGCACTGATGTTGATGCATCAAGGAAGGAGTGTCTAACACCTGCTTCCATGTCCTTGAGAGCAAGTACTGTGGGATCTGCCTCAACAATCATTGCCATGCACTTCATTGCCTTGGTCCGCACTGCTATTGCTGGCTCAACTAGCACTCGAAGGATCTGTTGAACAAATCTTAGCTCAAATGACCACATCCAATTTTTCTCTTCATTTGGTATAAAAGGATATCTGACCTGTCGCAGATACATGCTGAAGCTCTGAGAGAAGGAACGCTTGGATGCCAGGTACCGAGAGATGAGATGTGCACTGTCAGGATCCAGCTCTGTCTGGAATGTATTGCCAACTGCAGCTCCATACGGTTGGATGCGGGTGAGAAGAAACTTTTTCCTCAGTTCAGACAATCGGTAGATTTCATTTTTCACTTCTTCGGGGATGGTTTGGCTGTTTGGTATTCCTGACTTCGAGTGTCTGGAATTCTCCCCTCCCGAGTCTTCTCCCTGTGATGACTCTTCCTCACTGCTCTCCCCTGCAGAACCAGCACAAAATGACCATGTATCATGAAATCAACTGAATGAGATCTTCTGTATCAGATATCCTTACCTTTCCGTTTTTTCTTCTTCCTCTTATGTGCCGATCCCTTCACAGGTGATGAGTGATTGCTTGAGGGTGTATTCTCTCCAAGTTTCATACGTGTGATTTCTGAAACTGCATCTCTGTACCATTGCACGATGTAGAAGTGTCGGGCATGCAGCAACTGGGAGTCGTTGTCTGAATTGATGGAGAGGTATTCTAGGAGAAGCCTAACAAGATATAGCATCCTCTCCTCCTCTTCATCCTTGACCTCGCCCTGTAGCAAATGACATCATCACATGAGACAGTAATTTAAAAGAGGCAAATTTTGCTTCTTTTCTCGTTGCAAGGCATTGGTACCTACCAGAGACTTATTCAACTCCTCATCGTTGATCCCTTCCTCCTCCTCCTTCTGCTTGACTTCTTTGATTAAGTTGTCCATGGTTTCTAACTTCAGTCTTGATGTCACAGCATCCTTGCGCAACCGGGCAGCCACCACTCCCAGGTAATCCAATGATGACACTCTCAATGGCATCTCAATATTTTTGTTGCTGAAGTTTTGTGCCTTTTCAGACAGAAAGTAGATTATGATGCAGTAGTACATATTGATATGGGAATGGGTGTCGGCAATGAAATGACTTACGAGGAGATGGCCCAGAAGGCTCAGCAGAAGTTCAGCTGCAGGCCACTCAGGTCGATTCACTGTGGACAAGAGATCCTGAACAAAGTTCTCGAACAAGGGACGGTAATCTATCTCTTCATTCTTGCTTCCACATTTTGTGAGGAACACAGACAAGAAGTTAGCTGCTGTCATCTTGGCTGTCTCATATCGCTGGTTCATGAGAACATCCAAGTCAACCTGGAAAAAGAGTTTTGTCAAGTCTCCAAGCTGGTTCACCCAAGTAAGTCTACAATAAAATAACGCCAAAGCAAAGCCAACAGCAACATCAGATACTAACCTGGCTCTCCCCATTATTATGCTCATCCTTCTCCTGTTCCTTCTGGTTCTCCTTGGCCTTGGGGTCATGAGGCCCAACCAGAGTCTGAGGAAGAGTGACAACACACTGGATCAGTTGTAGAACTAATGCTGTCAACATCTGTATCTTCTCTTCTGAATTTTGGAGATGAAATGTTCGCAAGCTTCTTTTGGAGCTGGGCAGCCTTGCAATTGAAGCAAGGATGTCATCCAGGAGAAGTCGGCGGTGCTTATCATAGCGACTGAACACCTGTCATGCAAAACAAATGGTTACACTTGACACCTGAAGCAAAAAAGTTGCAAGTTTTATAAAGAAAGAAACTGCAAAATAAACTCACGACAGTGACAAGTTTGAGAGCATTGAGCTGAAGTTCAGGGACATTCTCAACAAAGAAGGGTGCCACGCCCAGCGTGGACACCTGAAGAACAGTGGTATCAGTCAGGCGCTGAATATCAAGGAGTTCCGCCAGAAGCCCCACCATTTCACTCAGATTGTGATACAGCTTCATGATGGACTTCTCTCGTACCTCTCGAGCATGTGCACGCTTCCGTTTCATATTGCTCACAAACCCATCTAGAAAATGAAAACCAAAAGATGAACTTCCCAATCCCTTATTTCCAGCTAATATTTCACACAATCTTGAATGACCAATGTACTCACCTTTGTTTTTGCCAACCCTATACACCGGGTCATACGATGGGTATATTGTGTTAACCAGCTGAAACCTTGTGAAGCTTACAATCCTTTCAATCAGATCTTCTAAGTAGATTCGCTTTGGCATGTTCCTTGATGTGAGAACATAGAGAGCAGTGAGAGATGCATCTACAGCTCGGCTCACTCTCTCCATTGCCATCTCCACCCACAACTTCCCAGCATCTTCATCATCCTCCTGCAAAAAAAAGGGTTCGGCATTCTCTATCCAGTCCTCATTGTTGTGCTCAAGCAGCCATCACAACGAAAAGGGGCATACCGGGTCGGCAACAGGAAGGACCTTGGCTCCATCTCTGATGTTCTTCTCAAGGATGCTAAGTAGTTGAACGAGACGTTGGGCAGGGACAAGCTCCATCGCAGAACGCAACTTCAGTTTCCCTGCTTCTTCTCTGAGCTCTTGTAGTTTGTACTTTGCAATGAGCACTTCACTTGGAACCTCAGCTTCTTCATCTACATGACCGATATTAAAAAAGTACAATCAATACTACTGACCATGTCTTCTGCAATGCCAACCTGGAACCTATCAGCCCATATTAGTGAACTTCATGTACCAGAGTAATGTATTCTGACTCTGAATGCATGACAAATGCAGAAAAATAGTGAAACAGTTCCATGAAGTCTTACCAAGGTCAGCTGTGATCTCCACATCTTCAGCACTTTCACAGATATGATCAAGGAGCCGGGAGAATCGTTGATAGGCATTGCTTTCCAGGACTAGGTCATCGACACCTAACTTCTCAATGACCGGGACAAGTTTCCGTTCCACCTTACGCACTTTTGGCTTCTTTGGCAGTGGCTCTGCCTCTTCATTCTCCTTTTTAACTCCACCTTCAAACATTAAATAAGAGTTTATAATGATGCAGTTCATTTCAGAGAATGAGGTCCAGCCACAAGAACCAAGGGTTGCAAAAACTCACCTTCAACATCACAGCTGTTGGTGTCTTCACCAATATCTGATCCTTGCATAGGTCCACGTTTCCTCTGCTTCACACGCTCTGACAAACTGGAACCATAATCACCAAACTCAACAGGAACGTAATCATCATCACCATCTCGCTTCCTCTTTTTCCTCTCTTCTCGTTCTGGAGGAGAAAAAAAATCCATACAGTTTCTTCATGATCATGACACAGGTTTACTCATCATTTCACAAGTGTAGATATCATACCTTTTCGCTTTTTCTCATCCCGTTCTTTCTCTCTGGCTTTGAAATAACGATTCTTCTGTTTTCCATCTCCCTCATCTTCACTGCTTGAAGATTCCTGATAACTCACAGTGGGCTTCCTTGATATTCTGTGATTACTCCCTTTGTCTTTCGCTCCCCTTCCCTGTGGAATATATTATAGTCAAACTCAGTCAAAGAGTTGAAGTCAGAGATATAGTCTATCCAGTCCAAATTGCTACAGTTTCAATCCTGAAAGGGATCATTAAATGTCATTTGTCTTCCTCTCCCCTGAGGGGAGAGGGTGTTTTCCCTTTGACCCCTCTGCCACACAGTGGTGTGCTGCTCCTGAGTGGAGGGGACAGGCCTCACATATGAATGATTTAAAAAATTTTTTAATTTTGAGAAGATGCCTGACAAGTGCCAGGAACATCTAGGTCTGCCACTGATAGCCTCCAGCCCCCTTTCCTATGTTTTGACAATCGGGTGACAGCACAAATTTAATGAGCTACCTTAAAACAGTCAATGCCAGCATAGCAATGTTAGAACGGATAGATTATACCATGGTAACCCATTCATAACTCTCTTTTAAGCATTGTGTACCTAAGATAATACCATAAAACATGCACTGATGAAATCATTGCTCGTGTTCATTAACAACAATGAAAACAAACGTGTAACTTACCAACATAAGGATATAATCACATTCTTTGTGTCAAAATGTGATAATGTAAAAAATGAAGTTGACAAGATGCACAAATGAAATACAGTCTGCTTCAATGATAATAAGCCTATGAGAAAGTGACAGAGCATGTTGGTTTTAAATGAACAGGTGACTAAAATACGAGTAAATGCTTGAGTTTCATGACTAGAACAGGCAGGGGAAAAAACAATCCAGCATCATTTAATTTATGACCTAAATTAATAAAAAAATTTTCAGCAGTTACTAAAATTTATTGGATGAATGTAGGAGGGCTTACACAAACAAAATATTATTAGAATATGGATGAATTCAGGTGGAAATTCCTAATGCTATTTCATATCTCATGATTCAGAATTTTCTTATTGAATATTTCAAATAGCATTCTTCTTTAGGGGCCAGAGATTTTCTGGGTCTGGATACTTTCTGAGATCCCAGAAACAAATTTATATCTAGGACCCAAGCTAGTAACTTATGTCCAGGTTTGGACTTTTGCCTGGATTTCATAGCTACTTTATTACGGAAAAATATAAATTTACATTCAATAAGTTACCCAATATCAGCGTGCTTGAAATATTCTCTTTCAATGGTTAAAGACAATCCCAAACATGCCTCAGTTTTCTCAGATTTGAGCCTTATGGCACTGGGTGAGTGTCACAGGGGACCACTGGGTCAATGGAGTATTTGTACCTTGTACAAGGAATCCTCTTCTCTCAATCTCATGGAATCCTCAATGGAGCCCAAAAAAAGTCCAACCCAAACAAAAAATGAGGGAAGACAATAGTGGCATAAGAGAAGAAGCATACTGACCATCTTTATGACATCTACTTGCTCCTGCTTCACAACCGGGCTCTGTGACAACTTCTCATCCCCTCTCAATTTGGCAGAACCAGGAGCTTGTGCTGTGATGCAACACAAGAATGACTCAACAAAAGAATATGTATGAAAGAGGCATACTGCCTCCAATGGAATGACACCTGACAGACTTTTAATTTATTCCTAGCTATACTTACCTTCACAAGGAATTGGTTGCACCTGGTTCACTGCAGCACTTTGTGATAAAGGACCATTAATTTGGTGGAATCCAGAATCATATCCCCCCAGTCTTGATGTGCCATTGCCTGCAATTTATGAGAATTCCAAATGAAATGATCATGAAATGTCACATCCATGTCCATATTAATTTGGTTTTTAAAAACCTAGTCCACTGCTGTTTGGTGATAGCAGCATCAGAAATCATAGATTCAAACAGACAAACAAACAGAAGGAAGAACACAGAAAGTCCATGCCATAACCTCCCAATAATAAATTGTGCATTATTACAGAGTACATTGCAATTTGATGAATAGTAAATAGATACTTAATGGATTACAGCAGCTAGAGTGCAAGTTCTACTGATGGAAGTCAAGGGAAGATCTTTCTGTTAATTGGTTCAAAAGCATCCCAGAGAAAATTAGTTTAGATGATTAGTGCAAAAAAGGATGTCTACTTTCAGCCCAGGATATGCTGTATTGAGGTGCCATCTGACAATCTGCATCCCAACAAACTTCTTGGTTGTGTTTCCCTTCTTCAGTTGTAGATCCACAACTAAAAGTATGTTTTCAGAATGCCAGTATAGAGACTTTCTGCAACACTATGGCGGAAAGTTACAAGTTTTAAAATTCATTTTAACCATATTTCAAGTCTTGATCCTTTGCTCTTGGCCACAGAAACACTTGGCATCAACATTAGTCTTATAAAGCTTTAGTTTTACCCCTTTAATTTCCTCAAATATTATCATTCTATTTAGTCCCTGTCTCAGAAGGAATTTCAGTCCACATTTAAGTCAATTCTTCAAATAAACCAAATTGGACAATTTTAGCTTCATCTTCCAAGAAAATTCTTCAAATTTTTACCCTTTCAATTCAATGAGAGGCTTGCTCCAAAATTCAATAGGATTTGCTTCTAGTTATAGAACATTATCATTCTAACAATCATGCTCTGAGGTTACAGAAATCTTGCATTCAATTTTAAGAACTGAACATTTTATGGAGATCCATGGGCAAGGTAGCCAAGGTCTCAAAATAGATCCTCCTTTCCAAGGGAGTTTTGCTGTCAGAGAAATTAATATTACATTGTTCTAAAGAGTTGCTCTAACATTTATGGTGGTCTACCATCCAAACTAACCAGGCAAAAAAAAAAAAAATCCTTTTCATGAAAAAAAAGAAAAAAGATTACAGCTGTTCAACTGTGTCTTCAAGGAGCACCTTTAGCCTAACTGAACCCTGCTTGAGATGACAAAGGAATCCAGTTGGATCTCAGCCCTTAACAGGCACAATACAACTTGCAGAGGGCATGATATGAATGCATCTAGGGTGAAGTTCACACTTAAGAACAAGTGAAATGATACATACCAGTACTCATCACCTGTGACACCCCTAAGTCTTCTCGCGACTGTGAAGGGAGACTGGTCCTTGAAGAGCCAACATTGTTTTGCACTAGTTCAGACGCACTGGCATTGACTGCCTGCTGCTGTGGTTGGGGCAGTGCGAAATTTCCACTCACTCTCGCATCACTAACACATTCACTGCCAGAGTTCACAATGTCCAGAGGTTGCCCTAGAGCTGTCCTCGAATTCACGTCCGAGGCAGAAAGGCATGTCTCAGAGCTTTGTACTAGCGACTGATTTGGGAAAGAAGACTGATGAAGTCGGTGGGACTGCTCCGACTGGATCACCGTCGGACGATGCAACGGCGATCGAGAGGCCTCTGCAGGAGTTTTTGACACTGCAGGTGTAAACTTGTTCACGGGCAGCTGGAAAAAAGAACATGAATTATTATATTACTCATACTTATACTCATGAAAACAGAACCAAATTTTGATGAAATATATAAAGTGGTAAATTCAAGACATCTCAGGCAAGAATCTTAGTTCAACATGATACCCCAAGTACACAAAAAACATCAGAAACCATAAGGCCTATAATGCATGCTGCTCCTCCCTAAAGAACCACAAGCTTCTGGAATCTAGTGACCAGAGAAACAGTCCCCTCAAACCAGATGCAATTTACCATTCAACCAGAACACCAACACATGTAAGATTTGTCAAATGGGTTATTGAATGGGCTTCCATTGCTTGTGCTAATTGGAGGCTTCTTTAGGATTCGCAGTTGCTTTATGGAAATGTGGGGTAATTTGGTTCCATATATGAAACATAAACAAATCAAAATTTTTCTTTTATATATTTCAAAGGGAAAGGGCATTTATACAGGGTGTTTCAGTCAATTAGTCACCATTTCAAAATAATCTAACTTTTAATGTATAAAAGCTACAGCGGCGATTCGCATACCACTAAATAGAGCAGACTTCAAAGTTAATTTTAATGAACAGTTAACCGCGAGATACGCTCAATATGACAACCACGCGCACTGTTGACGGCGCGGAGGCGTACAGGCACATTATTCTTCGAGCTACTCAGCAGCTCACTGTCACTCACTGACAGTGAGTGACAGTGAGCTCTCTTGAACACTTTTTCCTTTAGGTATCCCCCCCCCAAAAAAAAAAGTCATATGGATATGGGTTGATGTCGGGGATAGTCTGAGGCCTCGACAAACTACTGTTGAAGACGTGTGGATAGTGGTTTGCAATGGCGTGCTCACGAAATTTAATGCGTTAATGGGTTCTTCGCCGTGTTGGTGAGTGAACGACGTCGAGTTAAGGTTGCAAACTCTGCGGAAAAAACTTTGCAGCCTGTTCAATGAAATGGTAGGAGAGCTGTCGTGATAGCTTTCATACTTTCAGAGTCATATTATTTTAAAACAGTGTCTAATCGACTGAAACACCTGTATTACATTTATCGCATAACACCCCTCTCCCCACCTTACATTAAAAATGCCATTACAAAATAGCAAAATTATGAAATTTTGAAATAGTGAGAACTCCATCATCAGCATCCTCCCTTATTGAAGCCTGTCTCAAACGGCCTCTTTCGAGACCAATCTTTCATGTCCTGTCTCACTCTGCCGGCCTTGGGCAATTGTTCATACCTTAAGGCAGTTAAGTGACATCTTCAAAAAAGTTTCGGAACCGACAAGAAAGACAATACCTTGTGCTCCCACTTTTCATTTTCTTTTTTTTTTTAAGCAAAGTTATATTTGCGACCCAAAGCAAGTCACCCCCATGTCATCTGAAGAAAAAAGGAACAGGCCACAGAAGCCGTGCCCTTGGAATCACCTGAAAACGCATGCAACAAAAATAGACCCGGCCATCCCGGTTCCCACCTGAGGATATGGAGACTGCGGACTGGCAGCAGAATCCTGCTGAGGAGTCATCCTCGGCGTGGACGCCGGCGACGACGACGACGGGTAGGGGGAGACGGAGAAGGCGGCTCCCATGCTGGCAGGCGACGGGGAGTTCCCCGTCGAAGCAGCGTTTCCGTAGTTCCCCCACTTTTGCACTGCTGCCGGCGCCTGTACTTGCCCGTACCCTCCCCCTGAAACGTGCCACAAGCATCCCGTGCACCCATCCCAAAGTACGATCCCACAGGCAGAATCGACACCGAAACGAGACTCACCCTGCCCCCTGAACACACCCGGATGTCGCTGGAGGATCCCATGAAGGAGCTCGGGAAGGTTTTCCGGAGAGGGCTCTCCCCCTGCATAGGGGTCCTTCAACTCTCTGCAAAGACGAAACATCGTTACGACTCTCCAGACGTTCGAGAACGGCCCGAAAAGCAAGAGCGACCTACATGTGGTCGGCAGAGGTGAGAGAGATGCCTTGAATGAGCTGCGGGATGAGCGTCTCATCTCTCGTATTCAGGAGTCTCCTCGATTCCTCCACCAAGAGCGGATGAAAGAGAAGGGACTTATGCCCGTGTGACTCGGGCAGAGGCACCGGCAACGGCATCTCGGGTAGCACTGCAAAAAAAAGAAAGGTTTTCGTTTCACATGCGACTGGGAGAAATTAAAGGGTCGCTAAAGAGAGAAGGATCGAGCAGCGGGAGACCCGACGAGACACCTACAGTCACGGTCGCGCGAGCCTGCAGTTTGTCCGATGGCGGACAGATGTCGCTACGCCATGTAAACAATCTAGCAGACGACGCGAGGGGGGTTGGAACCATAGAGTGTATATACGCTCTATGGTTGGAACAGTCGAGCGGTTCCTTCCTTTCACTCCCCCACACCGCAGGCCCAAGCCAAAGGACGTCGGGGCGGGGAATCCAACGTGACGTTAATTACTGCTTCCTCATAATGAGACCAGTTCCAATGTTTTTGACACGACTTTCAACGTCGGTGGTCTCCAGGGAAAAGAAACAGGAATTTCGGACAAGTCCTCACTACTTAGTGGCGCTGTTGCTGGCAAAAGCAGCTGTTTCACCTACCCGAATGGACCATCATTGAGGAAGTGAACTACACGCGATCTATTGCGTCATCACCTTTACTAACCCGAAATCCTTCAAGGACCGCATTCGTCATTCGTCAGAAATAGACTACGTGCCAGTGTCCGAGCTAAGTTGCGCCTCTAGGTGACTTTACACAAACAAGCTCTTGGAACCAATCACTATTCCGATTTATATGCAAATTTAAACTAAACGATAAAAGTCCAATTTTGAAACGGAAGCCACTCACTCAACCACTCAACAGAGATTCAAATGCAGAACGCAGCTCCTCCCCACGCCAGTCAGCCTGACTCTGATTAGCTCACATTAGCCTGGATAACCAGGTTTAATCTAGCAAGGTAGTCTCCAAATCTCATTTTCTGTCGTCCTCTACTTCCAATCCCATCTCCGCCACCTTCTCAGCCTATCTCCCAAAATCTCCGACCCCGTGTCGGCAACCCAATCCCCACAAAGGATCACCCCCACTCCTCCCCCCTTCCCAACACCAAACCGCATCTCTCTCCAGAAAACATCCCCTCCAGAGAGACCCTCAACGACAAACATGCTCATCACATCACACCCCGTTATTTCCTCCATCCTCGGCACATCAAAGGTGCCACACTCGCCTCGTTTCGATACCAGTCAACATGTACCCTACATCCATGAACACCTGTACGGAAGGAATGCATTACTCTCGAGTATTTTTTACTCTTTACCTCACACGGGATTCATCCCTACGATACTCCTGGCGCTATTCCTTCTTTTTATTTTCTTTCTTACTATAGATGAATCAAGCATTTCCTAGGCATTTTCCATCTGAAGGGCTACTCCCGGTAGCCAACTGGGTAGCTCTTCCAAATTTCCCCTCGGTCTCAAAAAAAGAAAACACATGCATTACACTACCAGGAGTAGATTGTAGTAATGTCGAACCTCAGTCGAGAAGATATACACCAACAATGAACAAGGCAGACATGCCTTGAACGCGCACATTTCGCCAGAAAAAAAATTCCGTCAAGCGCCCCAAACAAACGCGAAGTTCACGAAACATTCAAAACAGCGAACCCCCCCCCCCAACACACTAGACATTTAAAAGAACCGCACGCCCGTCAAAAGATTAGCACACGCCAAACCGATCCCAAACAGCACATGGCTCTGAAAGGGAAATCGTGCAGATTTCCCCGTTACCCCTATCCAGAAAAGCGGAAAAAGCAGACCCCGCAATAGACTATTTCACCCCATAGATGCAACGTGACGTCACTCCCCCCCCCCCCCCGCCCCATATCCTTATTATGCGCCCCATATCCTTATTATGTCACTAGTCAGAGTTACTCCGAAATCATCGGAAGTCGAAAGGCAGGAAAAAAACAAGGCCGATCCTTAACCAATTACGTCTCGTGATCCCTAAATGAGAATCTCATTATTCTATTCTTTTTTTATTTTTACAACATACAACAATATCAATCACCTGGAAGTATAGGCACAATCGTAAGTCAGAATTAGAACATAGTGTCATGTATACATTTTGTGAGCAAACGTAAGACACAAATATGTAACTGACAAACATTCACTGATAAAATTAATGACTCCATCACTCTACGTTAAGCCACCAGGAAATACCAGTCTGACAGCATCGAGCCGGGCACAAAGCACTGTTTGCCCCCATCATTCGGCGACGACTTCCCACCTTAAAAGTACAGCTCGCAACGCCGTCGATGACGACGAAAATCGATCCTACGCGGACGTCAGTCCCCGCAAACAACAAATCAAGCGAAACAACTCAGACACGATGAAATATGCACATGAAATCCAAACGAAGCAGGGAGCCGATGCAAGCATGTCATCAGAGCCTGGAGTGAAACGACCATGACGATCCGATTAATCATGATCCGAACCGAGTCAACAATCACGACAGAACACGTCGGGCCATCCCCGGAGAAGCCAAGACCCACGGGACAAGCGATACACATAGTGATGTGCATCGCGATGGGCATCATGATGCGCGCCGTGATTGCCTCACGCGAGCCACGGGGACATCCCCGGCCGGGCCACAGAGCCTCAGATTAAAACAGATACGATTGTTTCCGCGGACCGTGCGGTTTTCTTTCATTTTCTTGGGCCCTTCTCGAGGTATCACGAGAGTCTATCGCACCACTTTTCGTCGCAAGGAAAATCGGTCGCAATAAAATTCGTCGACACCGGAATTACCTTGAAACGCGAATTTCCCCTTCACCAATCACTTATCGCGAATTTTGCCAATTTTCGACCTAAAGGCTTTCCTAAAAAGGCATGGAATTCACAAGATCTATAATATTTAAAAAATCAGAACCCTCGTCTGAGTCGCGCGATGTCACAAAATTTAACAGGTGGATCATTCCACCTTGAAGCGCGCCGACGGCCCGTGCCCGACGGTCTCAGAATTCGATCAAATTCAGCACTGCCAATTTTTGCCAAGAACGGCGCACCGCCAAAATCTCGAGTCCGACGAGCAACGAGGTACGAAGATTTCAAACTTGCTTATCTAACGATAGGAACTCTCATTTTAACCACGCTATATTTACCAAGATAATCCCAAAAGCACCGTCCCCTAAAATCCCAGTCAGCTCTCCGCTACAATTTGCACCTTTCATTGCAATTCCATTGCGATGAAACACCTGGAACTCCCCCTCCAGAGAGACCCTCAACGACAAACATGCTCATCACAATCAGATATGGCACAATCTGTGCATACCAATCCCCCCCCCCCCCCCCCCCCCCCCCAAAAAAAAAAAAAAAAAAAAAAAAAACATTTTTCTCATTTTTTCTGGCACAGAGCCCGCCCACGAATCTGTTCCTCCCATCGACATCACCGGGTCTCGATATGGAGCGTCCTCTTTTATGGTTCCGCTTTCCATCTTTTATGGTCCCGATTTCCATCAGTGGCGCTTCATAAACGTCACGGCCCGCTGCCCCCTTGCCACGTTCCATGCCCACCTCGCCACGTTCCGCGCCCCCTCAGAGGCACGGAAGTCCAGTCTCGGGTAACGCACTACACTCGTGCCACCTATCGGGGCAGCTCTCAATTATTCGATTCGCAATTTAGTTAATATTAATTAATTGTAATAGATGGCGTTTCTAGGCCTCGGTCAAATTTTCACATTCTGCATGAACACGAACACGATGATGAGAACTGGATTCCCCCCCCCCCCCATTGATTCAGTGATGATTACGTGAACTCGAATCGAGGCATTTAACGCGATTTTCAGTTCTTTCCAGAAAATGAAAAAAACTCAATGTTTGGCACCGCGTCGGTTTTCCGAAGCTTGCGTTTCTCCTGCCATTTCAGCGCCGAGAAAGAAATCGACCAATGCAACAGTCTTCGCACCCATAATGAGTGTTCATCATCAGACAAGGTCAGTCTCCCCCCCACCTCGGCACATCTAATCCACTCGCACTTTCTCACAAGCTGCTGAATCTACGGGGGAGAACCTTCCGGAGGAGAATCTCCTTCAATAACAAACGCTTCAACAAGCTCGAAACTCGCCTCCCTCCCCTCCCCAAAACCTTTAACTCTCGACTGGGATCTCCTCAATCCCAAGAATAATGGAGCACTTACATCTTTATTTTGGACAACCATACATACCCATAGCTTTCCTTTCATTTGGACAGTGCTTATGGCTGTTATCATCGCAACGTATTTAAAGGGACGCCAGTAAAACCCGCTAGGCAAGGTTCACTGATGGCATTTAAAATCCGCCTTTTAAAGGTTAATTCGTTCCCCCCCCCCCCCCCCTCAAGACTGCTTCACGCGGCCTGCATTCACGTACACGACACTCTTCGCTCAATCCCCTGCATATACTTCTCCGCTCGTTCTGCTCTACTTTTATCTTCTCACAGTGACGCCTGCCTCAACTGTGACCCCGAGCCGAAATTGGCTCAAACGGGATGAACATTTTTCCCTGATCATTTGGACTTCGTGTCACATAAAGAAAATCCTTAGAATGAAATTTCACGAAATTAGCGGATATACGATACAAAATGTCCTTGAAGACATGAATGAGTATTTTTTCATTATTTATTAGTCATTTTATCACATACTAGCAGGAAAGCCCACGAATATCGTGGGCAATCTTGATAGACAGCACCTTTGTATCTGGAATCCAGTTCAAGGCATGAAATAGAATTATCAGATGGGTATACAGGTACACGAATAAAGGGTCTGGATTCTATTAATAGTATCGGTTCATCTATGGTGTTTTAGCTCATGTTATACTGAATTCTAGGACATTCTGCACGTTTTAGAGCATTTACAGGCATTTTGGGCATAAATGGGAAATTTAAATTAATTAACTTCTTGATTGGCATTTTTCGGTAAATCACCACTTCTAGAATCAATTGACACCTGGCTAACCTCTCTGTCATGTCCAGTTCTCTGGGAATAAGAGTGACAGGTGCCTCTTACATACGCAGATTAGTACCAATCTCGTGATCCTCATCGACATTAGGGAAATAAATGCATATCTGGAGAGACTGAACACGACAATTATTACCAGCACGGGTT